AAATGAGTTATTAAAAATATTATGTTTAGAAATCTGATCATAATTCTGACTTCAACTGTTTGTGTTTTTATTTAGTTTATAATTTAATGACATTTTATGTCCAGTCAGTCTCATTTTCTTCATTTTTTAACATGACATCAGGTGCCACTACAAACTTGGAAAGCAGCTCGGTGAAGGTGGTTTGGCTCCGTGTATGAAGGGATTCGCAAACAGGATGGTCTGCAGGCAGGGGCGCAACTGCACATTTACTGATGGGTATACGGCTTCAACTTTTACGCGCCCCCCTTCAATCCAACTATATTTTATAACAGGCAAGTGATAAAATGTGGAAAATATTTCCATCAATAAATTAAAGATAATTTTTCATAAAGATATCAATATGCTTACAAAAATACAGTTTCGCAGTTCTGAACACAACTGAAATAGTATGAAGTAGTAAAAGGTATAATTACATTAAGCAAGTTAAGTCGCAAAGAAATGCATCTCTTACCACCCCAAATTTCTTCTCAATTTAATTTTCCCTCACTAAATGATTATATCACCTTGACTAGCCTTGCTTTTGGACTTTTTGTACTACATTTGTCAAAACAAAATGATAGACATGGGAGTCCTAAAGGGCAAAAGAACATTGCAATTACTTCTCACATGCATACTGTGAGAAGTGTAAGGTCTGTCTTTGCAAGAACAATTGACTGAAACTGCTAAAAGTTAAATAAAAAAGACTGTCAAATGTTTAGTGTAACAAAAAAAAAAAAAAAAAAAACAGAAACAAACAAATGTTCTATTTAATTGAAACGTTATAACTTTGTTTGTAGCTAAAATTAAAATAGTGTTGAGCTAAGAAGTTACCAAAAGGCTGGATGAATCAATATGATACATAATAAATTCATAAAAACATGTATATGGCATTGCCCCCTCAGAAAGAGTTTGTGCCCCAATGTGCCAACAATCCCAATTTTCATAAGGGATTGTTTACTCAAACTGAAAATTCTTTCTGTCATTAACTATTAACACTCCCGTCGTTCCAACCGTCAGAACACACATCTAAATATTTTAAAATATATGACATAGCAATTGAATTATGAAAATTGGTGAGATTAAAGCTAGTCCTATAGTCCAGAGATCCGGTCCCCGCGTCAGGTCTGGTGCGCCCGTAAATAGCCTTTAAAACGCGCACACGGCGATGGAGGCGCACTCAACTCACAAGGGAGAAAATGGGTGACATGATGGGAGCAGCTTAATTCATTACATGTTTTGGTTAACTAATTATTTAAACACAACTCTCTTGAGCTCTAAAAGGGAAAAAAACACATAAGAAATTTGCTGTTAAATTAATTTTAGCAGAGACGCAACTGCCAGTCATTTATTAGTTATTCGGGAAGATGTAGCCTAATAAAAATGTTTTAATAAAAATAAATAGTTTACTGCACAGTCCCACAGTAGGCTACACTATAAATAATATTTTAAATGTATTTATTAATATTATTATTAATATTATTGCGATTAAGCTAAAATTGACAAAACGCAGAACCCTTTGAAAGTTTGCTTTCATTTAGCTAAAAAGCGCACTTTTACAGTTGTGTAGAGAAACGTTCCATTATGCAGCAGCAGTCAAGGTATAACACATAATAAATACCTTTTGGGTTTAAAGATGATCGGCCTGCGAAGTCAAGTTTGCAGTGTTATAAATGGAATAGGTATAGTGCTTAAGTGGATTTACCGCGGATCAACCGAGAAACCTCGTGCGCTGCAGGTAGGCAGAATGATAATCTTTTGAAAATTTGTAATTTAGGCTGTACTGCTATCTATTGTGTATATTTACAGCAAATTCAGCAAAATCATTTTGTTAGAATAGTTTCAATTAGCATGTTGTACTGACCGCTGCATCATTGGAGTAAGCCAGATTTCCACAAATATTGCATTCTAGGAAACTAAATCATTTAAAAGCAAGATATTTTCTGAGAAATATTTCAGGTTGTACTCATTATGGGTATTGTATAAGCTATAGTATTATAAAATGCTAGTTTAAGTAATTAAATGTGAAATAAGTGATCAAATCAAGTTTGGAGGATGGTGACAAAGTATTAACGTTGTAAATGAAAATTAATTTAAAGAATGTCTGATTTTGGTCAGCAGAGGGCACTAAACTGTGGTCAATGTCATTTACTGTTAAGACACACCCTGTTGAAAAATGTAATTATTTGAAACCCATGACCTATTTTTGAACAAAATTAATTTATTTTTGGGGTTCCACTGTGATCCTAAAATAGAGCTTAATGTGAAATTCTACTTTGACATGTAATTTGGCATAATATATTCAGAATTACCCATTAAACGCAGCCTTGGTACAATAATTTGTACTTTTAAAAAAACCCTGGTTTGGGATTAGGCATGGGCCGGTAAAAGATTAAAAATAATAATGTTAAATTACTAAAACTACTAGTAATTCACTTAAATAGCATGAAATAGTATAAATAGTCAAATGTAAACCTGACTGAGAAAATAGTCTTGACTGGCTGTTTTTGAACACTTGAATTTCACAGGATGCACCAGCCCATATTGTAGTCAGTTAGTTATGTACTCATGTAAATAAGGACGACAAAAACTACAGACCTGTTCATTAGACCTTGAAGCCTAATATTTCTGCTGCTGTAATGTTGATGTTAACTAACCAAAATAAAGAAAGTTAAACTTGATTTTAAGTATAACATCATTTAAATAACTTGTTGCTAGCTGTATTTTTATTAGTGCTGTCAAATGCTTAATCACATGAAAATTAAGTTTGTATTTACATAATATATTTTCGTGGAGTGTATATATTTGAGAAACTCTATATCTTCATATGAAATATTTATATCTACATCAAATTATAAATAAATAAATAAATAAATATAAAAATGATGTACATGTTATGAAGATGCAAATTTTAATTTTGGGTTTGATTAATTATGATTAATTGCTTGACACAACTGTTTTTGTGTATGTATATGTTCATACTTAAAATGTCATTTAATATTCCATTTATAATTTTTTAATATTTTAACTTTATTATTTACATTCTGTAATTGATCGCATTAAAAGTTCTTTAATAACAGTATTTAAATTATGAAATAAATATTTAAACGATTAAATAAAGTCTGTGTTTAATATCACATTACTTATTATTTAATTTAGCTGGGTTGCTGCAATTGAAATGAAGTATTGTTAAATTTCACTGCTATTGATTACTGAAATATATTGTGACTTCTCTGTTCACCACTCTATCTCTCTGTCCACATAGCTGTGCTGTGCTTTCCAACATGAAAAGTACCTTTATTTGGGGATGGAGTTCATGCCAGGTGGAGATCTGGGGAATCTGACCAGCAACTATGACATCCCAGAGGAATGGGCTCAATTCTATACGGCAGAAGTGGTGCTGACACTTGACGCCATCCATTCTCTGGGCTTCATCCACAGAGACATCAAACCAGACAACATGCTGCTGGACCGCAATGGACACCTCAAACTTGCAGACTTTGGCACATGCATGAAGATGGACTCGGTGTGTGGTAAGTGCATTTGAAGTGTCTTTTAAGGGGGTGTGATACTAACAAAAATGTTTCTCTCCTTTTTTTGATAATCTCATTGAACAATATTTTGCTTAGTGTGCTTTTGTGCTGATACCTTGGCTAGTTTAGGCCTGACATGGATTAATAGATATGACCACTAGGTGACACCACTACTGCAGGTGACAGCAAGTCTCTTTCTCCTTTTCAAAAATACTAGGCTACTATCTAAATCGGTACTTCGTTTGAGTTCTAAGTTGTGTCTTGACAGTAATAAAATAGAATAGTGGAAGTGAGAATGAAATTCAGGCTACTGCATTGACGTTGTTGTCACTGTCATGTTAACCTTTCGTCATCACGCCTCATAGGATAGTAAATGAATTAATTCCACACTTTATTAATTGATAATTCTGGTACTTTTTGCCTCCTGATTCATTCAATCATTTTCCTTTAGCTTAGTCCCTTTATTCATCAGGGGTTGCCACAGCGGAATGAACTGCCAACTTAGCCAGCATATGTTTTACACAGCGGATGCCCTTCCAGCTGCAACCCAGTACTGGGAAACACCTATACACACTCCTTCAAACATACACTATGGCCAATTTGGTTTATTCAATTCACCTGTAATGCATGTCTTTGGACATGGGGAGAACAAGCAAACTCCACAGAGAAATTCCAACTGGCCCAGCCGGGGCTCGAACCAGCGACCTTGTTACTGGCGACAGTGCTAACCACTGAGCCACAGTGTTGCCCCTGCATCCTAATTTCTTCTACTAATTCGGATGTAAAAGGTCACATGCTGTTTTTCACAAACTTAATATTAGAGAAGTGTGGAGTTTAGAATTTATTCTGTTTTTATAAGTGATTCAATGAACATTTATTCAAACAATTTATTCAAAATGGCTGATTCATTTAGAAACGAAGCAATTAGTGACTGTCTTTGTTGATGATTTATTTAAAACAGATTGAAGTGCAAAACACACACACACACACACACACACACACACACACACACACACACACACACACACACACACACACACACACAAACTCTTCTCCTAAGATGCACATTTTCTGCTTCAGCTTTGTTTGGTATTTTCTGTTGATCTGTTGAACAGAACTCGCATTATTGTGTTTTAATGGATGTTCAGGAAAGCCTGCTTGTGTTAACTTGCTTGTATTATTTCACAAAACCTTACACATTTTATAAACAAAACCCCATAAAGGGATATTTTAACCCACCTATTTGTCATTGGGACTGCTTTCCAATAGTTTTAATTGCTTTTGGACTCTCAGGACGTGATTTTGTTTGTTTTTCTCAATTGAATGAAGCTCTCTGTAATGCCAGCCCACAATACAATTACAATTTTATTGAAAACGATAAATATCATACACTAGTAGTTGGTGTGTTTAGATGTACTATACATGGCCGAGAATGAGAGAGTTTCTTTAAGATTTTGTAGTGTAGAGATTTACAATTATCACCTCACACATTGCAGCATCATTAACGTACGTTACAGAAAGCCTCCATTCGGTTATGACAGATGTTAGTGCTGCCATCTTGTGGCTAGATTATACAATGCAGTCCTTGAATTGAATGAATATGAATTGTGTAAATAATTTAAATTTTAAACATACTTGTATTTCAGCTACATTAACTCAGCCAGTAATGTTTATATCCATGTGTCTACATGTGTGTTTAGACTGGTATGGTACGCTGTGAACACTGCTGTTGGGACACCTGATTACATTTCTCCAGAGGTTTTAATGTCTCAAGGAGGGACTGGTTATTACGGTCGTGAGTGTGACTGGTGGTCTGTTGGTGTTTTCATTTATGAGCTTCTAGTGGGTGAGAAGTGTCAGCTTCATATGCATCTCTTGAAATTTTATTTCAGTGTTCTCATAATCAAATGTTTTCTTCTGTCGATCTGGGCAGGCGACACTCCAGTTCATTCCGAGTCTCTGGTGGGCACATATGGAAAGATCATGGATCACAAGAACATCTTAACTTTCCCAGATGATATTGAAATGTCAAAGGATGGCAAAGACCTCATCTGTGCCTTTCTGAGTAGCAAGTGAGACTGAGAAAATGAAAGTTTGATTTGAGTTTTTTTTTTTTTTTCTTGTAAAATTCAGACTCTTACTCGCTTAATATCCCCTTACTTGTTTGTTTTTAGAGGTTGGCTGGTAACATTAATTTTTTTATTAATTTGAATTTAACTTTACTGTAAAAAAGAGCTAATATTCAGGACAATTTATTACACACATGATGAGATTTCTTTTGTAGTTTGGAGTTTATAACCTGGGTTTGACATTACCTTTTTTGATCACCAGCCACAGTGGCTAGGAGTTTTCCAACATTACTAGCCACTCGCCATTTTCACTAGCCACAATTATAATGTTGGAAAAATATATTTTATATTCATAAATTTGAATTTGACATGCTAACTTTACTTAATTTATACTTTGTGTCCACATGCCTCCTTGTTCATTTAATATTTTTGTGTGTTGTTTATGACCTTGCTCAATGAGCATGAGTACATGGGATGTGATTTTTATAGTGTCACTATGCAATTAATTTAGTTTTATTTTTATAAATAGTTTATTTCACATGAGTTTCCAGGGCTCGACACTAAGGATTTGCAAAGTTTTTCTCTGACTGCACCGAACTAATTATTACTTAGAAACACATTTTAAATAATGTGTAAAGCAAACAAAATATAGCTATACATACACTTTTTATACACAGTTGACACTTAAAAACAATACTCTCATGTATTCTCAAAGTGGCTAGTGGGAGTGGCTGTCTAACCCGCCACAGCTGAAATCTACCCGCATTTGTTAATGTGTTAATGTCAAGCCCTGTTTATAACGTATTTAATATAATCACAGGGTAGCTTAGATTTGTTATCGTTGTTATCATATGACATTTTCCCTATTTTTCCCTATCGATGTACTTTTTTCCAAAATGACAATCTCAGGGAATATTTCATAAACACCAAATCATATATTTTTTTAATTTAATTAAAGGAGAACATACAAGTCTATATTAATTTGATGCTTTTAAAAGCTCTTCATACAATAAGTCTTTCATAAAACTTTAATGTCCTACTGCTTTTACTAGACACACTAGCTTAATAAAACCTTACTTGTTTGTTTTTAGAGGTCGGCTGGTAGTGAAATTAATTTATTATTTTTTCTATTTGAAATTAGCTTCACTGTAAAAAAAAAAGTACACTTTCTTGACAATTTTTTACACATTTTGATCAGATTTCTTCTGTAGTTTATAACATATATAATGTAAACACAGAGTACCTAAGATTTGTTATTACTGAAAACAGTAAAGTTTTCTTGCCATAAATTACCAGGCACAGAAAAAAAGGAGATTAATTTAGCAGCTTCAGTGAGAAAAAGTAGCAGTTTTTGCTTAGTTTATTCTCAGCTAATGTGATGGAAAAACATATTTTGTCTCTGTAGCCAGAATATGATGATCCATTTCCCCAAACACAAATGTTGGCTATAAAAAAATGAATAATCTTTATTAAACCGTTGAATCAATGATTTTTTTTCTCATAATTTTGCAGCCCTGTATAATTGACACACAGTTTTGCACAACCCAGTGTTGTTGTTGACACTTTGTAGTGTTCTGATTGATTGAATTAGTAAATTCTGTGTATATTTGACAAAATACAACAATGTTAATATAATCTAAGCCTGATTACTACACATACCTAAAATACAAATAAATAGTTTTATCAGTGAAAAAAAAAAAGTTTTATCAGTGTTTATGAAATGTTCCCTATTTTTTTTAAAGGTTTAGGGTCAATAAGATTTTTTTTCTTTAATGGTTTTAGAAAAATTCTAAAAATAAACATATAATTCTGAATAGTAATAATAATAATAATAATCACAAGAAATATTTCTTAAGTACCAAATCGCCAAAAAACTTACTAAGCCATATCAACATTTTAATTGAATTAAATTAGATAAAATGTAAAGACAACATACAAGATGATCTTTATTTATGTTATGCCTTTAAAAGCTCTATATAAATAAAGTCCCTAATAAAACATACATTTCATCTCCTACTGCTTTTACTATATCAGCTTCATGGACGTTCACCCTCCAGCCTGACAACTTCCATCTGAATTCCTCTTTTCTCCTTCCCTCTTTCTCCTCTCTCACATGCCCACATACAAGCATTCCTGATCAAACATACAGAGAGGGGCTTAATGTTTTCTCTCAATGTTTTCATGTAAACACACACACACACACACACACACACACACTCCTCCCTTTGCATTCAGGCTGTTGGAATGTCCCACACGTGGTAGTCCAAACTGCTGCACCGCCTCAATGCAGATGAAGTAAAAGGAAGGGGGAGTGAACGGTCCTTATTTTTGGATGTCTCTCTGACTGCTCCACTCCTCCATGCTGTGCTGTTGGATGTTCTTGGTTTATGGTCATTTAACAGATTAGCGCTTCTCTGTTTGTTTTGCTGACCAGTGTTGTGCTATGTTCAGGGAGGTGAGGCTTGGCCGGACTGGAGTGGATGAAATAAAATGTCACCCCTTCTTCAAGAACAATCAGTGGACCTTCGACACCATATGAGACAGTAAGTCAGTGAGAGCTTGACTTTTTTTTTTGTCGCTGCCTTTAGTTGTGGTGAAATGAGATGCATCATGTTGTTTATCTGTTTGTGCAGTCAGTACCTTTTATTTCTGAATCGTCTGGCATCGTACTTGAAGCCAAGTCATTTAGCCGAAGGCATAGTTGTCCTAGAACGAGTAGTTTGCTGATCAAATTCCACATTTTGATGAGGCAAAACACATCTTGGATGTTTTAATTACTATTTTAGGTGAAAAACAAAATAATGAGATTTGTGTAAAATCTAAAGTTAACCAAGTCCAGCCCGCCATCTTGTCCTGCCTCTCAGTTCTCTTAAGCCTTGGGCCGGCTCTGTGAAGTGGCCTCTTTTGGGCTCATCATTAAAGACCGGACGAGCTGCAACATTTCGTTCTCCCAGGTTCTGGGAGTAGATGAGCATGTCACATGTGTAGACTTTGACCAACTTGGGAAGTCACTCACAAGACCTCAGCTTATGGGACATTACCATTAAAATGAAACGTTTCCAGCAGAATATGATGCTTTGAAAAAAAAAACTCCATCAGCACTGGTAACTATGAAAAACACGACTGAGCACTTATAGTATACTCAACACTTTACACTGACATTTGAAGGATCACCTGACATTAAAGACTGAAGTAAGAACGCAGAAAAAACATCTGATTTTAGCACAGAAGAGGTTTTCTTTTCCTAAATTAAAGCAAAACTTCATAATATTGTGTTAATGAATTAATTAGTGTGTGTTGCACTGCTGGAGTGAAGGTTAACCAGTCCACACAGTTCATGCAGCTATAATCTTTATTATCTTTTACTAAGAAACTATGTACAATATTTACACGTTGGCTCCAGGTCTCTTGGATGAAGATCTCTCAGCGACGTGGTCTCTTCTGGTCGCCACGCGTTTCTGGTGGAGATGGGGAGCGGGACCACCTTTATGAACCAAAATCGTTCTTTGTACCAGGCTGTAAACACCTTCTTTTCTGCTGTAAAGTTGGCCATTTTAACAGTGGGCTCAATAGAAATTTGCTCCATATGGAGCCAGGACTGCCAGAATTTCATTGAACTGCATTTTCAGTTACTTCTGTATTTGCTTCATGACGGAGAGCGGGAGGTTGCCGTTGTTTGGGCACAAGCTGTAATATTTACTTTTCTGATCTGGAAAGATTCTCATTTGCAAAGGTTTTTGTTTGCTTCCTGGACATCCCCAGCACAAATAATTAAATGATGAGTGGGGTGTTTTAAGCTGAAATGACACACACATTTTGGGGCAGCTAATATTTTTTATCATGCTTGTAACATAACCCTTTATAACTGCAATGAAATGAAAGTAGTGTAAATTTTTCTTCTGAATTAAAAGTAAAACTATCAGAAAGTAACAAACAAATGTAGGACAGGTACTTTTTTATTCCTTTCAGTTGTTACTGGATGGCGGGAAAGCTTGAAAGCAAATTTCCAGTCCATTTTAGATAAAATAACCTGAATTATTAAAGACAGCCAGAGAGATGACTTTCATTTTCATGGCATAAATGAATGTAACTCAGCCTCTTGACTTTTCAACTCTTGTTTATTTCTCAATAGCAAAAAAATGCCAAAAACAGACACCCAAAACCCTACGCATGCTGCGCGACACAGGGGCGTGAACCTGCAGGACCCAGACGCACAGTCCACTCGAAGCTGCTGTGGGAACTAAAGGCCTGTCAACACTCCATCATGGGAGACCACGACACCTTCTCCTCCCTAAAATCCCACCCTTCACCCTTTCACCTCCCAAGACGGATAAGGAAAGAGAAAGAAAGAGAAAGGAATACCAGGAAGAGCTCGAGGAAAACGCCTCACTCGTGCCACAAAGAGATTTTTCAAGGAAGACTTCTGGTGGACGGGGCTGAAAGCGAACGGACGATGGACTCTGTCATGTCTGGCAGTAAATATGGATTCTGTATTACTTTCAAGTCAACAAGAATTTCTACCTCAGTTCATCCTCATTATGCAAGCACCATGTAGAGATAAAGGATTGGAAAAGAGATAAAGGAACACAGAATGGACTAAAGAGTTATTATTAACCAACAAACCTTCCCATTCTCAGCCCCTGGAAGGGTCCGTAATGCCCCTTTTAACATTCAGAAGTCTTTAAGCGAAATCTACACTGAGTATCCATATGGTCTGGGCTCTCCCATTTAATCTCAACTCTAACACTGGAAGAAAGTCAGCACCTTAAACTTAAACTAACCCTTCAGTTATTCATCTTTGAGCCACATCTACTAAATTTATAACACAAAGGAACACCGAAGCAGAACTTCATATGTTTTATTTCAGCTTTATTTATTTTTAAACCTTTGTTTGAACTGGTCTCCCTTTGCGCAGCTCGTCATTCATCTATGACCCATAAAGTATTATAGAAAGTCAATGTTGTCTTCCCTATCCCATTTCCTTCTCCCCACAGCATTGACCTCAAAGTTCAGTGTTGATGTTCACAAAACAAGAGCGAGCTCTACGATGCCTTCTTAATCTTCTTTTAGCTTTGTGTAAACTACTGTTTGAGAGTCAACAAATTATTACATATATTTGCACCAATCAGACTGATCCAAAATCATTTTGCTTCATGATTAATTGCAAAATATCATTACACATTTAGTTGTCTGGATGCGGAAGTCACACAACACCAGTCTCAATATGTGTTATTAAAAAGCAACAAAAAATATTCAAGCACCCACTAATCAACAAAGTGAATGATTGAGCACTGGGATGGCAAATATTGTGGGAATGCAGATTTTTGCCCACAAAGCCCCTGAAAAAGTGGAAAAAAACAGAAGTGCCTACTCCGTTTTTTCCGTGTTCTTTGTTTTGGGCTTGATTGAGGTCGGCTGACCATCTTAAAAGTAGCGGTTTTGAGACGATCCCGAGGTATACGGGCAATAAGCTGTGAGAATAACTTGCGGAGCGTGCTAGTAAACAGAGGAGTCGTTTCAGTCTTGTTTTATGAATGCTGTTTGTTGATGTGTATTAAAAAGAATTTTATTTCAGATTGATTTTAGTCAGTAATTTAATGGGTTACCAATACATTTATATGGTCATTTAGGGAATGAATTAGGTATCATGATAAGGTGTCACACAGCTAGAAGTCATTTGTCATGTGTCTTCAGGTCCACCTTTTTTGTGGAATAAGATCTGATCTCGTTAACACCTCTGTCAATTTTAAATAAAGCTGTGCTGTTCTGCTATGAATGAAACGTGGCTTTGGTTTCTGTGACTTTTTCAATAGCCTAGATCTAAACCACAGACTACTGTCATTTATGAGACAACAGCATTGTTCACCTCCACCCGCGTGAAGTAATATTTACCTCTGAAAACACAAGCCATAACCACACCAAACTAAATGCAAGTTGCAAACAGCAATTCACAGGGTTTACTTCACATTGGGGTTCGTGTTTAAAACACTTTCAGACATTTAAACAAAAATAAATGTCAATTAATATTTAGCAATCTTCAATTAATAATAAGCAATATCTGTGATTGTTAGAGATTTGTACAGCACAGAATTTTTTTTAATGACAAATAATTAAAGCAGTTCGGATGTAGTGTTGTTTGAAAGAGGACATCTAATATATAAGAAAAATGATGTATTAATTATTTTATTTATACATTGAACATCATATGAGGTATTAAAGCGCCCCCTAGTGCCGATTTCTTCCAAATTTAACAACAATTAATATTTTAACTACTGTGATGGTTAGGATTGGGGTGGGGGTAGGCATTACAAAATGCAATGTATTGGGTAATTTAATAGATAGCATAAATAATACTCGGTACAACTACAGTGCTGTGACGGTTGGGTTTAGGGTTGAGGTGGGTGTAGATGTTAATAAAATACAATAAATGGGAAATTTAATAAATAATACAAATAATTCTTGTTAACTTTCAGCCATATCCAATCTAGCAACAACAACCCTTTAGGGCATGAGGTGTCCAAACAAACCCAGTCCAAGAGGACCACCTATGTAAGCCTACACCTGTCTAGAGTGGACACCTTAAACCCTAATAACGCTCTGGTAAGCCTAATAACGCTTTAATTAGTCGGTTTAAGTGTGTTAACGTAGGATAGGAGCTAAAATTCCATCTTTCGGATGAGACGTTAAACCGAGGTCCCGACTCTCTGTGGTCGTTAAAAATTCCAGGATGTCCTTCGAAAAGAGTAGGGGTTCAAGCCCGGCATCCTGGCCAAATCTGCCCACTGGCCTCTGTCAATCATGGCCTCCTAACCATCTCCATATTCAATTGGCTTCATCACTGTCTCCTCTCCACCAATCAGCTGGTGTGCGGTCTGGTGCAAAATGGCTGCCGTCGCATCATCCAGGGGGATGCTGCACACTGGTGGTGGATGAGGACATCCCCCCCATTGTGTAAAGCGCTTTGAGTGCCCAGAATAGCGCTATATAAATGTAAGGAATTATTATTATTATTATTATTAAAATAAGCCGGACCGAGAAAATCTTTTAGGTAATTTATTCCTCTAAGTTATTAACATGGTCCCACTGGTGCATTTGTTCCTTACACATACAAAACCTTTTTGAAGTTCTCCCATGCAGGCAATTGTGCTAAGACTGTGATCTATTCCCTGCAACATCAGGCCACAATCAGGTGTCCACAATCAGGTGGTTTGTCTTGGTCTGGCATCTCAGCTGAGACCTGTCCACTATGGGTGACCCTGCCAGTACTTGTGAAGTACCAGTGGTGAAGCTCTCAGCATCACTGATGCACAGAAGCCCTCACAGCACGTCAAGCTGCAAACCATGTGAGGGACCCTAACCTAACCTACCCTATACTAACCTATCACTGACCGACCAACACTCAGAGGAGTCCAGCAACTGACCAGCAACACTAAGAGACCGCTCAGAAAACCCTGCAAAGCGCATGTCAAAAACACAGAAAACTTTCCAAAACAACCTGACAACCAGAACCCAAGAGCCACATCAGCAACCATCAAAACATTCAGCAGAGTGATAAAAACTTTGAATGAAAAGAAAACTTAATGTAAAGACTTACTCTATAACTATATACAGTATGTACATACGTGCCCTTGATCTTTCATGGGACACTATGATGGCTCAGTGTCTGGGCTTCTTTCTTCGGGGTTCCTCCTCGGGTAGTGGCTCTCCACTGATGTCCACGTGGATTTGAGGAGCGCTGCTGCTTCCGCTGGACCTGCTCTCCGTGATCAAGACTCGTCCATCAGGCAGCTCGGTCTCCAGCAGCGTAGGCCGGTGGAGCTTCTCCCACAGCCGTTGCTTGATCCCCAGGCCTCGCTTGAAGCGGTAGCGGCTGCAGCCGGTCTCCACGACGGAGCGAAAGATGTGCTGATAGTCCTGCACGCTTCTGCCGTGGATGGAGAGCTGCTGCTCCGGCTGACACTCGTTCACTGAGGAAGACACTGATGCTGCTGCTGCTGCTGCGGGACGGAGGACAGGGAGGGCCGCCGCGTTCATCAGGTGTCGCTTCTTCAGCGCTGGGTCAGAGATGCAGCTGTAGGTGTGATCTGACCTTACCGCCGCTGCGAGCTGCTCAACGGTAGAGACGCCCTGTAGCCAGAAGTGACTCGTGTGTGCGGGGAGAGCCCTGGTTCTTCTTGAGCGACGCTGCTCCATCAAGATGACCCAAGAACAACTTTCCAAAGTAGAGAAACTGATCAAACTTTTCAAAAGTTGTCGAGAGTTTGTTGCGAGACGATCGGGTCAGAACCAGCTGTGTATATTAAAGATCACCTCAAGTTGCTGTAGTGACAGAATGACGAGCCTCATTTAAATGTAAACAATATTTAATATCAGCAGTGAATTAATGAAATCAGCACGAACTCTGTGCTTTTATAATTGAGTTTTTATTAAATGCAGTAGCTAAATTTCTAAATTATGATTATTCAATAAAATGCTGGTCTTATATTAATAAAAAATCAAAAATAAGCATAAATGGGCGTTTTTTATAGGACGAATGTTGACCACTGAAAATCGTCACAGGTTTCAGAAATCTGGTCATGTTAGTGAATATTACCATTGATTTTTGTTTGCTTTTGGGATGGTTTGCGTTTCATTAAAAAAAAAAAAAAACACTGAACTAATATTCTCGATTCTATATTTACTTCATAATTAACTAGGCCTATATCAGACCAACCGGGACTTTAGCAATGACATTGTTCTTTTGATGCTTTGTATACTTAAATTTTCATAATTTTCCTGCACTGACTGGGTGATTTAATATTTTTATAGTATTATTAAAATTATTAATCATAATAATGCTATAAGCAATACAATAAACCAAAATACATTCCAAAAAAAAATAAAAATCAAAAATCAAAAATATAAACCAGTATCAGATACAACGACAACCAGCATTAATAAGATTAAAAAAGCTAAATATACAACAGTTTATTTTGATTAGCTATTAGCTTATTAGGTCAGGGAAGTGCTAATCATTCATTCTGAGTGAAGGTTTTTATTTATTATTATTAAAATAGCTTTAAGAAACTTAAAACAACCATGCCAAATAAAAAATATGTAAATATGCGTGACCTAAAACATATTGGTTTATTTGACTATGGCAATTTTATTTATTTACATTTTATTTAATGGTTTACTTTTAAGCTATCACAAAATATTAACCACTTTCATTGACCAATGTGCTCTCCAACAAATAAACAGAAAGGGAAACAGAAACTAAATAGTAAAAAATGTATTTGAAAACATAAAAGTCTATAATCTAGACCAAAAGATATTGTTGTACAGAGCTCGTCTTATTGACTGTGGTAAGGCTCATTTATACACATATATACTGTGTATAGAGGAAATTAGGATGCAATATTTCAAGTTTATTTAAAAAGCTGTGCATATCTTCAACATTAAATGAATATGAAATAAACTTTTTATAATAAAAACTGACTCCAGGATCATATCAATGTTTGAACTGTAGTTTACAGATTTGTATTTAAAATTGAATGGCAAAGCCACAAAACGAATAAAATAAACAAAAAGTGTGATGTGACAAATCTGATTAACAAACTAAAAATATATCATTAAAATAACAGAGAGGGAAAATTACAAACACAGGAAAAAAATTTATGTTTTTTACTTCCCAGTCCCAGACGTTCCTGAAATGTCATAATCACATGTCCAAGTGTTTCTTTACAACAGTATGAAAATCGCCCCTGGTGGTGATGTGATCAGGACTGTAGCTGGAGAGGCAGGAAGTCAGGCCCGGCGCTACGGGGGGGGCAAAGGGAGGCATTGCCCCCTCAGAAAGAGTTTGTGCCCCAATGTGCCAACAATCCCAATTTTCATAAGGGATTGTTTACTCAAAATTCTTTCTGTCATTAACTATTAACACTCCCGTCGTTCCAACCGTCAGAACACACATCTAAATATTTTAAAATATATGACATAGCAATTGAATTATGAAAATTGGTGAGATTAAAGCTAGTCCTATAGTCCAGAGATCCGGTCCCCGCGTCAGGTCTGGTGCGCCCGTAAATAGCCTTTAAAACGCGCACACGGCGATGGAGGCGCACTCAACTCACAAGGGAGAAAATGGGTGACATGATAGGAGCAGCTTAATTCATTACATGTTTTGGTTAACTAATTATTTAAACACAACTCTCTTGAGCTCTAAAAGGGAAAAAAACACATAAGAAATTTGCTGTTAAATTAATTTTAGCAGAGACGCAACTGCCAGTCATTTATTAGTTATTCGGGAAGATGTAGCCTAATAAAAATGTTTTAATAAAAATAAATAGTTTACTGCACAGTCCCACAGTAGGTTACAATATAAATAATATTTTAAATGTATTTATTAATATTATTATTAATATTATTGCGATTAAGCTAAAATTGACAAAACGCAGAACCCTTTGAAAGTTTGCTTTCATTTAGCTAAAAAGCGCACTTTTACAGTTGTGTAGAGAAACGTTCCATTATGCAGCAGCAGTCAAGGTATAACACATAATAAATGCCTTTTGGGTTTAAAGATAATCGGCCTGCGAAGTCAAGTTTGCAGTGTTATAAATGGAATAGGTATAGTGCTTAAGTGGATTTACCGCGGATAAACCGAGAAACCTCGTGCGCTGCAGGTAGGCAGAATGATAATCTTTTGAAAATATGTAATTTAGGCTGTACTGCTATCTATTGTGTATATTTACAACAAATTCAGCAAAATCATTTTGTTAGAATAGTTTCAATTAGCATGTTGTACTGACCGCTGTATCATTGGAGTAAGCCAGATTTCCACAAATAGGCTATTGCATTTTATAGGAAATTAAATAATTTAAAAGCAAGATATTTTCTGAGAAATATTTCAGGTTGTACTCATTATGGGTATTGTATAAGCTATAGTATTATAAAATGCTAGTTTAAGTAATTAAATGTGAAATAAGTGATCAAATCAAGCTTGGAGGATGGTGACAAAGTATTAACGTTGTAAATGAAAATTAATTTAAAAAATGTCTGATTTTGGTCAGCAGAGGGCACTAAACTCTGGTCAATGTCATTTACTGTTAAGACACACCCTGTTGAAAAATTTAATTATTTGAAACCCATGACCTATTTTTGAACAAAATTAATTTATTTTTGGGGTTCCACTGTGATCCTAAAATAGAGCTTAATGTGAAATTCTACTTTGACATTTAATTTGGCATAATATATTCAGTATTACCCATTAAACGCAGCCTTGGTACAATAATTTGTACTTTTAAAAAAACCCTGGTTTGGGATTAGGCATGGGCCGGTAAAAGATTAAAAATAATAATGTTAAATTACTAAAACTACTAGTAATTCACTTAAATAGCATAAAATAGTATAAATAGTCAAATGTAAACCTGACTGAGAAAATAGTCTTGACTGGCTGTTTTTGAACACTTGAATTTCACAGGATGCACCAGCCCATATTGTAGTCAGTTAGTTATGTACTCATGTAAATAAGGACGACAAAAACTACAGACCTGTTCATTAGACCTTGAAGCCTAATATTTCTGCTGCTGTAATGTTGATGTTAACTAACCAAAATAAAGAAAGTTAAACTTGATTTTAAGTATAACATCATTTAAATAACTTGTTGCTAGCTGTATTTTTATTAGTGCTGTCAAATGCTTAATCACATGAAAATTAAGTTTGTATTTACATAATACATTTTCGTGGAGTGTATATATTTGAGAAACTCTATATCTTCATATGAAATATTTATATCTACATCAAATTATAAATAAATAAATAAATATAAAAATGATGTACATGTTATGAAGATGCAAATTTTAATTTTGGGTTTGATTAATTATGATTAATTGCTTGACACAACTGTTTTTGTGTATGTATATGTTCATACTTAAAATGTCATTTAATATTCCATTTATAATTTTTTTTATATTTTAACTTTATTATTTACATTATGTAATTGATCGCATTAAAAGTTCTTTAATAACAGTATTTAAATTATGAAATAAATATTTAAACGATTAAATAAAGTCTGTGTTTAATATCACATTACTTATTATTTAATTTAGCTGGGTTGCTGCAATTGAAATGAAGTATTGTTAAATTTCACTGCTATTGATTACTGAAATATATTGTGACTTCTCTGTTCACCACTCTATCTCTCTGTCCACATAGCTGTGCTGTGCTTTCCAACATGAAAAGTACCTTTATTTGGGGATGGAGTTCATGCCAGGTGGAGATCTGGTGAATCTGACCAGCAACTATGACATCCCAGAGGAATGGGCTCAATTCTATACGGCAGAAGTGGTGCTGACACTTGACGCCATCCATTCTCTGGGCTTCATCCACAGAGACATCAAACCAGACAACATGCTGCTGGACCGCAATGGACACCTCAAACTTGCAGACTTTGGCACATGCATGAAGATGGACTCGGTGTGTGGTAAGTGCATTTGAAGTGTCTTTTAAGGGGGTGTGATACTAACAAAAATGTTTCTCTCCTTTTTTTGATAATCTCATTGAACAATATTTTGCTTAGTGTGCTTTTGTGCTGATACCTTGGCTAGTTTAGGCCTGACATGGATTAATAGATATGACCACTAGGTGACACCACTACTACTGCAGGTGACAGCAAGTCTCTTTCTCCTTTTCAAAAATACTAGGCTACTATCTAAATCGGTACTTCGTTTGAGTTCTAAGTTGTGTCTTGACAGTAATAAAATAGAATAGTGGAAGTGAGAATGAAATTCAGGCTACTGCATTGACGTTGTTGTCACTGTCATGTTAACCTTTCGTCATCACGTCTCATAGGATAGTAAATGAATTAATTCCACACTTTATTAATTGATAATTCTGGTACTTTTTGCCTCCTGATTCATTCAATCATTTTCCTTTGGCTTAGTCCCTTTATTCATCAGGGGTCGCCACAGCGGAATGAACTGCCAACTTAGCCAGCATATGTTTTACACAGCGGATGCCCTTCCAGCTGCAACCCAGTACTGGGAAACACCTATACACACTCCTTCAAACATACACTATGGCCAATTTGGTTTATTCAATTCACCTGTAATGCATGTCTTTGGACATGGGGAGAACAAGCAAACTCCACAGAGAAATTCCAACTGGCCCAGCCGGGGCTCGAACCAGCGACCTTGTTACTGGCGACAGTGCTAACCACTGAGCCACAGTGTTGCCCCTGCATCTTAATTTCTACTACTAATTCGGATGTAAAAGGTCACATGCTGTTTTTCACAAACTTAATATTAGGGAAGTGTGGAGTTTAGAATTTATTCAGTTTTTATAAGTGATTCAATGAACATTTATTCAAACAATTTATTCAAAATGGCTGATTCATTTAGAAACGAAGCAATTAGTGACTGTCTTTGTTGATGATTTATTTAAAACAGATTGAAGTGCAAAACACACACACACACACACACACAAACTCTTCTCCTAAGATGCACATTTTTTGCTTCAGCTTTGTTTGGTATTTTCTGTTGATCTGTTGAACAGAACTCGCATTATTGTGTTTTAATGGATGTTCAGGAAAGCCTGCTTGTGTTAACTTGCTTGTATTATTTCACAAAACCTTACACATTTTATAAACAAAACCCCATAAAGGGATATTTTAACCCACCTATTTGTCATTGGGACTGCTTTCCAATAGTTTTAAATGCTTTTGGACTCTCAGGACGTGATTTTGTTTGTTTTTCTCAATTGAATGAAGCTCTCTGTAATGCCAGCCCACAATACAATTACAATTTTATTGAAAACGATAAATATCATACACTAGTAGTTGGTGTGTTTAGATGTACTATACATGACCGAGAATGAGAGAGTTTCTTTAAGATTTTGTAGTGTAGAGATTTACAATTATCACCTCACACATTGCAGCATCATTAACGTACGTTACAGAAAGCCTCCATTCGGTTATGACAGATGTTAGTGCTGCCATCTTGTGGCTAGATTATACAATGCAGTCCTTGAATTGAATGAATATAAATTGTGTAAATAATTAAAATTTTAAACATACTTGTATTTCAGCTACATTAACTCAGCCAGTAATGTTTATATCCATGTGTCTACATGTGTGTTTAGACTGGTATGGTACGCTGTGAACACTGCTGTTGGGACACCTGATTACATTTCTCCAGAGGTTTTAATGTCTCAAGGAGGGACTGGTTATTACGGTCGTGAGTGTGACTGGTGGTCTGTTGGTGTTTTCATTTATGAGCTTCTAGTGGGTGAGAAGTGTCAGCTTCATATGCATCTCTTGAAGTTTTATTTCAGTGTTCTCATAATCAAATGTTTTCTTCTGTCGATCTGGGCAGGCGACACTCCAGTTCATTCCGAGTCTCTGGTGGGCACATATGGAAAGATCATGGATCACAAGAACATCTTAACTTTCCCAGATGATATTGAAATGTCAAAGGATGGCAAAGACCTCATCTGTGCCTTTCTGAGTAGCAAGTGAGACTGAGAAAATGAAAGTTTGATTTGAGTTTTTTTTTTTTTTCTTGTAAAATTCAGACTCTTACTCGCTTAATATCCCCTTACTTGTTTGTTTTTAGAGGTTGGCTGGTAACATTAATTTTTTTATTAATTTGAATTTAACTTTACTGTAAAAAAGAGCTAATTTTCAGGACAATTTATTACACACATGATGAGATTTCTTTTGTAGTTTGGAGTTTATAACCTGGGTTTGACATTACCTTTTTTGATCACCAGCCACAGTGGCTAGGAGTTTTCCAACATTACTAGCCACTCGCCATTTTCACTAGCCACAATTATAATGTTGGAAAAATATATTTTATATTCATAAATTTGAATTTGACATGCTAACTTTACTTAATTTATACTTTGTGTCCACATGCCTCCTTGTTCATTTAATATTTTTGTGTGTTGTTTATGACCTTGCTCAATGAGCATGAGTACATGGGATGTGATTTTTATAGTGTCACTATGCAATTAATTTAGTTTTATTTTTATAAATAGTTTATTTCACATGAGTTTCCAGGGCTCGACACTAAGGATTTGCAAAGTTTTTCTCTGACTGCACCGAACTAATTATTACTTAGAAACACATTTTAAATAATGTGTAAAGCAAACAAAATATAGCTATACATACACTTTTTATACACAGTTGACACTTAAAAACAATACTCTCATGTATTCTCAAAGTGGCTAGTGGGAGTGGCTGTCTAACCCGCCACAGCTGAAATCTACCCGCATTTGTTAATGTGTTAATGTCAAGCCCTGTTTATAACGTATTTAATATAATCACAGGGTAGCTTAGATTTGTTATCGTTGTTATCATATGACATTTTCCCTATTTTTCCCTATCGATGTACTTTTTTCCAAAATGACAATCTCAGGGAATATTTCATAAACACCAAATCATATATTTTTTAATTTAATTAAAGGAGAACATACAAGTCTATATTAATTTGATGCTTTTAAAAGCTCTTCATACAATAAGTCTTTCATAAAACTTTAATGTCCTACTGCTTTTACTAGACACACTAGCTTAATAAAACCTTACTTGTTTGTTTTTAGAGGTCGGCTGGTAGTGAAATTAATTTATTATTTTTTCAATTTGAAATTAGCTTCACTGTAAAAAAAAAAAAGTAAATTTTCTTGACAATTTTTTACACATTTTGATCAGATTTCTTCTGTAGTTTATAACATATATAATGTAAACACAGAGTACCTAAGATTTGTTATTACTGAAAACAGTCAAGTTTTCTTGCCATAAATTACCAGGCACAGAAAAAAAGGAGATTAATTTAGCAGCTTCAGTGAGAAAAATTAGCAGTTTTTGCTTAGTTTATTCTCAGCTAATGTGATGGAAAAACATATTTTGTCTCTGTAGCCAGAATATGATGATCCATTTCCCCAAACACAAATGTTGGCTATAAAAAAATGAATAATCTTTATTAAACCGTTCAAGGTATTCAATGATTTTTTTTTCTCATAATTTTGCAGCCCTGCATAATTGACACACAGTTTTGTTGGCACAACCCAGTGTTGTTGTTGACACTTTGTAGTGTTCTGATTGATTGAATTAGTAAATTATGTGTATATTTGACAAAATACAACAATGTTAATATAATCTAAGCCTGATTACTACACATACCTAAAATATAAATAAATAGTTTTATCAGTGAAAAAAAAAAGTTTTATCAGTGTTTATGAAATGTTCCCTATTTTTTTTAAAGGTTTAGGGTCAATAAGATTTTTTTTTCTTTAATGGTTTTAGAAAAATTCTAAAAATATACATATAATTCTGAATAGTAATAATAATAATAATAATCACAAGAAATATTTCTTAAGCACCAAATCGCCAAAAAACTTACTAAGCCATATCAACATTTTAATTGAATTAAATTAGATAAAATGTAAAGACAACATACAAGATGATCTTTATTTATGTTATGCCTTTAAAAGCTCTATATAAATAAAGTCCCTAATAAAACATACATTTCATCTCCTACTGCTTTTACTATATCAGCTTCATGGACGTTCACCCTCCAGCCTGACAACTTCCATCTGAATTCCTCTTTTCTCCTTCCCTCTTTCTCCTCTCTCACATGCCCACATACAAGCATTCCTGATCAAACATACAGAGAGGGGCTTAATGTTTTCTCTCAATGTTTTCATGTAAACACACACACACACACACACACAAACACACTCCTCCCTTTGCATTCAGGCTGTTGGAATGTCCCACACGTGGTAGTCCAAACTGCTGCACCGCCTCAATGCAGATGAAGTAAAAGGAAGGGGGAGTGAACGGTCCTTATTTTTGGATGTCTCTCTGACTGCTCCACTCCTCCATGCTGTGCTGTTGGATGTTCTTGGTTTATGGTCATTTAACGGATTAGCGCTTCTCTGTTTGTTTTGCTGACCAGTGTTGTGCTATGTTCAGGGAGGTGAGGCTTGGCCGGACTGGAGTGGATGAAATAAAATGTCACCCCTTCTTCAAGAACGATCAGTGGACCTTCGACACCATATGAGACAGTAAGTCAGTGAGAGCTTGACTTTTTTTTTTGTCGCTGCCTTTAGTTGTGGTGAAATGAGATGCATCATGTTGTTTATCTGTTTGTGCAGTCAGTACCTTTTATTTCTGAATCGTCTGGCATCGTACTTGAAGCCAAGTCATTTAGACGAAGGCATAGTTGTCCTAGAACGAGTAGTTTGCTGATCAAATTCCACATTTTGATGAGGCAAAACACATCTTGGATGTTTTAATTACTATTTTAGGTGAAAAACAAAATAATGAGATTTGTGTAAAATCTAAAGTTAAGCAAGTCCAGCCCGCCATCTTGTCCTGCCTCTCAGTTCTCTTAAGCCTTAATTGGGCTGGCTCTGTGAAGTGGCCTCTTTTGGGCTCATCATTGAAGACCGGACGAGCTGCAACATTTCGTTCTCCCAGGTTCTGGGAGTAGATGAGCATGTCACCGGTGTAGACTTTGACCAACTTGGGAAGTCACTCACAAGACCTCAGCTTATGGGACATTACCATTAAAATGAAACGTTTCCAGCAGAATATGACGCTTTAAAAAAAAAAACTCCATCAGCACTGGTAACTATGAAAAACACGACTGAGCACTAATAGTATACTCAACACTTTACACTGACATTAAAGACTGAAGTAAGAACGCTGAAAAAACATCCGATTTTAGCACAGAAGAGGTTTTCTTTTCCTAAATTAAATCAAAACTTCATAATATTGTGTTAATGAATTAATTAGTGTGTGTTGCACTGCTGGAGTGAAGGTTAACCAGTCCACACAGTTCATGCAGCTATAATCTTTATTATCTTTTACTAAGAAACTATGTACAATATTTACACGTTGGCTCCAGGTCTCTTGGATGAAGATCTCTCAGCGATGTGGTCTCTTCTGGTCGCCGCGCGTCTCTGGTGGAGATGGGGAGCGGGACCACCTTTATGAACCAAAATCGTTCTTTGTACCAGGCTGTAAACACCTTCTTTTCTGCTGTAAAGTTGGCCATTTTAACAGTGGGCTCAATAGAAATTTGCTCCATATGGAGCCAGGACTGACAGAATTTCATTGAACTGCATTTTCAGTTACTTCTGTATTTGCTTCATGACGGAGAGCGGGAGGTTGCCGTTGTTTGGGCACAAGCTGTAATATTTACTTTTCTGATCTGGAAAGATTCTCATTTGCAAAGGTTTTTGTTTGCTTCCTGGACATCCCCAGCACAAATAATTAAATGATGAGTGGGGTGTTTTAAGCTGAAATGACACACACATTTTGGGGCAGCTAATATTTTTTATCATGCTTGTAACATAACCCTTTATAACTGCAATGAAATGAAAGTAGTGTAAATTTTTCTTCTGAATTAAAAGTAAAACTATCAGAAAGTAACAAACAAATGTAGGACAGGTACTTTTTTATTCCTTTCAGTTGTTACTGGATGGCGGGAAAGCTTGAAAGCAAATTTCCAGTCCATTTTAGATAAAATAACCTGAATTATTAAAGACAGCCAGAGAGATGACTTTCATTTTCATGGCATAAATGAATGTAACTCAGCCTCTTGACTTTTCAACTCTTGTTTATTTCTCAATAGCAAAAAAATGCCAAAAACAGACACCCAAAACCCTACGCATGCTGCGCGACACAGGGGCGTGAACCTGCAGGACCCAGACGCACAGTCCACTCGAAGCTGCTGTGGGAACTAAAGGCCTGTCAACACTCCATCATGAGAGACCACGACACCTTCTCCTCCCTAAAATCCCACCCTTCACCCTTTCACCTCCCAAGACGGATAAGGAAAGAGAAAGAAAGAGAAAGGAATACCAGGAAGAGCTCAAGGAAAACGCCTCACTCGTGCCACAAAGAGATTTTTCAAGGAAGACTTCTGGTGGACGGGGCTGAAAGCGAACGGACGATGGACTCTGTCATGTCTAGCAGTAAATATGGATTCTGTATTACTTTCAAGTCAACAAGAATTTCCACCTCAGTTCATCCTCATTATGCAAGCACCATGTAGAGATAAAGGATTGGAAAAGAGATAAAGGAACACAGAATGGACTGAAGAGTTATTATTAACCAACAAACCTTCCCATTCTCAGCCCCTGGAAGGGTCCGTAATGCCCCTTTTAACATTCAGAAGTCTTCAAGCGAAATCTACACTGAGTATCCATATGGTCTGGGCTCTCCCATTTAATCTCAACTCTAACACTGGAAGAAAGTCAGCACCTTAAACTTAAACTAACTCTTCAGTTATTCATCTATGAGCCGCATCTACTAAATTTATAACACAAAGGAACACGGAAGCAGAACTTCATATGTTTTATTTCAGCTTTATTTATTACCTTTGTTTGAACTGGTCTCCCTTTGCGCAAATATTGTGGGAATGCAGATTTTTGCCCACAAAGGCCCTGAAAAAGTGGAAAAAAACAGAAGTGCCTACTCCGTTTTTTCCGTGTTCTTTGTTTTGGGCTTGATTGAGGTCGGCTGACCATCTTAAAAGTAGCGGTTTTGAGACGATCCCGAGGTATACGGGCAATAAGCTGTGAGAATAACTTGCGGAGCGTGCTAGTAAACAGAGGAGTCGTTTCAGTTTTGTTTTATGAATGCTGTTTGTTGATGTGTATTAAAAAGAATTTTATTTCAGATTGATTTTAGTCAGTAATTTAATGGGTTACCAATACATTTATATGGTCATTTAGGGAATGAATTAGGTATCATGATAAGGTGTCACACAGCTAGAAGTCATTTGTCATGTGTCTTCAGGTCCACCTTTTTTGTGGAATAAGATCTGATCTCGTTAACACCTCTGTCAATTTTAAATAAAGCTGTGCTGTTCTGCTATGAATGAAACGTGGCTTTGGTTTCTGTGACTTTTTCAATAGCCTAGATCTAAACCACAGACTACTGTCATTTATGAGACAACAGCATTGTTCACCTCCACCCGCGTGAAGTAATATTTACCTCTGAAAACACAAGCCATAACCACACCAAACTAAATGCAAGTTGCAAACAGCAATTCACAGGGTTTACTTCACATTGGGGTTCGTGTTTAAAACACTTTCAGACATTTAAACAAAAATAAATATCAATTAATATTTAGCAATCTTTAATTAATAATAAGCAATATCTGTGATTGTTAGAGATTTGTACAGCACAGAATTTTTTTTAATGACAAATAATTAAAGCAGTTCGGATGTAGTGTTGTTTGAAAGAGGGCATCTAATATATAATAAAAATGATGTATTAATTATTTTATTTATACATTGAACATCATATGAGGTATTAAAGCGCCCCCTAGTGCCGATTTCTTCCAAATTTAACAACAATTAATATTTTAACTACTGTGATGGTTAGGATTGGGGTGGGGGTAGGCATTACAAAATGCAATGTATTGGGTAATTTAATAGATAGCATAAATAATACTCGGTACAACTACAGTGCTGTGACGGTTGGGTTTAGGGTTGAGGTGGGTGTAGATGTTAATAAAATACAATAAATGGGAAATTTAATAAATAATACAAATAATTCTTGCTAACTTTCAGCCATATCCAATCTAGCAACAACAACCCTTTAGGGCATGAGGTGTCCAAACAAACCCAGTCCAAGAGGACCACCTATGTAAGCCTACACCTGTCTAGAGTGGACACCTTAAACCCTAATAACGCTCTGGTAAGCCTAATAATGCTTTAATTAGTCGGTTTAAGTGTGTTAACGTAGGATAGGAGCTAAAATTCCATCTTTCGGATGAGACGTTAAACCGAGGTCCCGACTCTCTGTGGTCGTTAAAAATTCCAGGATGTCCTTCGAAAAGAGTAGGGGTTCAAGCCCGGCATCCTGGCCAAATCTGCCCACTGGCCTCTGTCAATCATGGCCTCCTAACCATCTCCATATTCAATTGGCTTCATCACTGTCTCCTCTCCACCAATCAGCTGGTGTGCGGTCTGGTGCAAAATGGCTGCCGTCGCGTCATCCAGGTGGATGCTGCACACTGGTGGTGTCACGGTCGTGGTGGGGAAAAGGAGCGAGGACTCAAGTGCAAAGAAACAATGGGTATTTATTAATAATAAAATAAAAACAAAAGGCAAAACAAAACCACCCCGAAGGGGAAAACATGAATACAAAGGCAAAAACAAACTTGACAGGGCTGGCAGGACTGGCAGGACAAGACAGGGCTGGACACAACAAGACAGGAAACCAGCAACGACGAACTGACAAAGGACTGAAAACATGAGGGGGATTATAAAGCAAAAAAGTAAATTGAAACACAGGTGAACACAATTAACTAAATATGGGTTAACAAGGAGGGTGGGACTAGACAATAGACGGGAGAGCGCATGACACAGAGAGACAATACAAGCCATGCGCTCACATAACACAACACTGAAGCACACGACAAAAGCACGTGACCAATGTAAACACCGAGCCATGTGCTTTGACAAAAGACACAAGACACGAGCACACGATGAATGAAAACACTCACCATGCGCTCACATATGCAGCATGCATGCTTCATCCCAGCGCCGACCAAAACCGAAACCAACAAGACTGAGACGCTGGGAATGAAACACCATGCTGCTGACAGACGAAAACACAAACACGAGTACAAGAGCGCACGCGTCTGAGGGACGCAGAGCGCGCGCGCGCCCGCGTCAAGCAGAAGCGCGCACACTCTGCGTACACCCACGAAGGCGCGCGCGCACACAGAGACAGAAACAGGACCGGACATGGGTAGTGTCAGAGCTCTGCCACCAAAACAAGAATTTACAAAGACCAGAGTGGCAGAACCCTGACACTAGCCCCCCCCAAAAGGGACGCCACCTGGCGTCCCTAAAGGGAACATCCAACAAGGTACAAGACAGACAAGAAACACTACAAGACAACAAAACAGGCAACATCAACAGACACAAGACAGGGGGGTGAACAGGCAAGACAACATGAAGGGGGGGAGGGAGGGAAGCCAAGCCGGACTCAACAAGACAAACAAGGGAGGGATGGGAGGGCAAGACCAGGGAGGATCAGGAGGGACAGTCCAGGACAGGTGCAATGGGTCAGGGACCCCGGCAGGGAACCAGGGTGGAGCCGGAGGATCAGTCCAGGGTGGCAGAGGCATGCTCCAAGGTGGAGCAGGAGGGACAACCCAAGGAGGATCGGCCTGGGATACCAAGGCAGGAGGCCTGTAGGGAGCTGGCTGGGATGAAGGCCTGTGGGGAGCCGGCTGGTCTAGAGGCGACTTAACTAAAGCCGGCGGGGCTGAAGACCAGAGGGGAGCCAGCGGGGCAAGGAGCCGGGCTGGGGCCGGCTGGGCAAGACGTCTGGGGTGCGCTGGCAGGGCAAGGAGCTGGGCTGGGGCCGGCAGGGCAAGACGTCTGGTTGGGGCCGGCAGGGAAAAGAGCCGGGCTGGGGCCGGCAGGGCAAGGAGCGGGGCTGGGGCCGGCAGGGCTAGACGTCTGGTAGGTGCCGGCAGGGCAAGGAGCCGGGCTGGGGCCGGCAGGGCTAGACGTCTGGTAGGTGCCGGCAGGGAAAGACGTCTGGTAGTTGCCGGCAGGGCAAGGTGCCGGGCTGGAGCCGGCTGGGCAAGACGTCTGGGTGGCGTCGGCCGGGCAAGGAGCCGGGCTGGGGCCGGCAGGGCAAGACGTCTGGTAGGTGCCGGCAGGGCAAGACGTCTGGTAGGTGCCGGCAGAGCAAGGTGCCGGGCTGGAGCCGGCTGGGCAAGACGTCTGGGTGGTGCCGGCAGGGCAAGTAGCCGGGCTGGGGCCAGCAGGGCTTGACATCTGGGTGGTGCCGGCAGGGAAAGACGTCTGGGTGGCGTCGGCAGGGCAAGGAGCCGGGCTGAAGCCGGCAGGGCAAGACGTCTGGGTGGCGCCGGCAGGGCAAGGAGCCGGGCTGAAGCCGGCAGGGCAAGACGTCTGGGTGGCGCCGGCAGGGCAAGGAGCCGGACTGGGACCGGCACTGAGCGGCGCTCTGGGGCTGGAGCCGACACTGGAGGGCGCTCTGGGGCTGGAGCCGACACTGGAGGGCGCTCTGGGGCTGGAGCCGACACTGGAGGGCGCTCTGGGGCTGGAGCCGACACTGGAGGGCGCTCTGGGGCTGGAGCCGACACTGGAGGGCGCTCTGGGGCTGGAGCCGACACTGGAGGGTGCTCTGGGGCTGGAGCCGACACTGGAGGGCGCTCTGGGGCTGGAGCCGACACTGGAGGGCGCTCTGGGGCTGGAGCCGACACTGGAGGGCGCTCTGGGGCTGGAGCCGACACTGGAGGGCGCTCTGGGGCTGGAGCCGACACTGGAGGGCGCTCTGGGGCTGGAGCCGTTGTGGTGGAGGAGCCCTTTCTCCTCCGACGCTTCCTTGGTCTGGGTGGCGGGAAGCTGGCCACCTCTTCAGACACTGCAGTATACTCCACTGCCTGCAGGACTGGTGCAGTGTCTGTTGCGGGTGCCTCAGTAAGTGATGCTGCAGCCAGGATGGTAACTGAAAGGGCTGCAGCAGGTTCGGTCACCTCTGGGTGGGCGACAGGTAAGGCAGACCCGGTCTTCCTCCTCCTTCGCCGTTTCTGGGTCATTGGAGGACTGGGGCCCCCACTGATTGCAGATGGATATGTGAAGCAGTCAGTGGGCTGGCGCTTTGTGCGGAGTTGGTGGAGCTTAAACACAAAGCGCCAAAATGGCAGGTACTCCAGCCTCTCCATCTCCACAGGGCTGAGGGGCTCCGTTAGGCAGATGTTAAATGCCTCCTTGAGGTCCAGGTTATCCTCATACTCAAGGCCATCCACTACAGCAAGGAAGTCGTGGGCGAAATTTCTGATGTCCACCTCTCCCTGCTGCAGGGAGATTTCCTGGACAACCTGAAGCAGCTGGTGTTTGACAGAGCCCCCAAGAAAAGGAGATGGAAAGAGGAAGCTACCCATTTTTCTGCTGAGTCCTCTTCTTTGGTCAGTTCGTACTGTCACGGTCGTGGTGGGGAAAAGGAGCGAGGACTCAAGTGCAAAGAAACAATGGGTATTTATTAATAATAAAATAAAAACAAAAGGCAAAACAAAACCACCCCGAAGGGGAAAACATGAATACAAAGGCAAAAACAAACTTGACAGGGCTGGCAGGACTGGCAGGACAAGACAGGGCTGGACACAACAAGACAGGAAACCAGCAACGACGAACTGACAAAGGACTGAAAACATGAGGGGGATTATAAAGCAAAAAAGTAAATTGAAACACAGGTGAACACAATTAACTAAATATGGGTTAACAAGGAGGGTGGGACTAGACAATAGACGGGAGAGCGCATGACACAGAGAGACAATACAAGCCATGCGCTCACATAACACAACACTGAAGCACACGACAAAAGCACGTGACCAATGTAAACACCGAGCCATGTGCTTTGACAAAAGACACAAGACACGAGCACACGATGAATGAAAACACTCACCATGCGCTCACATATGCAGCATGCATGCTTCATCCCAGCGCCGACCAAAACCGAAACCAACAAGACTGAGACGCTGGGAATGAAACACCATGCTGCTGACAGACGAAAACACAAACACGAGTACAAGAGCGCACGCGTCTGAGGGACGCAGAGCGCGCGCGCGCCCGCGTCAAGCAGAAGCGCGCACACTCTGCGTACACCCACGAAGGCGCGCGCGCACACAGAGACAGAAACAGGACCGGACATGGGTAGTGTCAGAGCTCTGCCACCAAAACAAGAATTTACAAAGACCAGAGTGGCAGAACCCTGACAGGTGGTGGATGAGGACATCCCCCCCATTGTGTAAAGCGCTTTGAGTGCCCAGAATAGCGCTATATAAATGTAAGGAATTATTATTATTATTATTATTAAAATAAGCCGGACCGAGAAAAT